AGGAAGCTGACAATACTGCGGATCCGAAGTACTGTGCGTACCACTAGAGGATCCTTCATCCCACCAAGGATTGCTTTGCTCTCAAGAATAGCATCCAAACCTTGATTGAAGCTGGTGTTATATCGCTCAGTTAAGTCGAATGAAGACTCCGATAAGTATAAGAGTATAAACTGCTCCTTCCTACACTCCGATAAGTATAAGAGTATAAACTGCTCCTTCCTACACTCCGATAAGTATAAGAGTATAAACTGCTCCTTCCTACACTCCGATAAGTATAAGAGTATAAACTGCTCCTTCCTACACTCCGATAAGTATAAGAGTATAAACTGCTCCTTCCTACACTCCGATAAGTATAAGAGTATAAACTGCTCCTTCCTACACTCCGATAAGTATAAGAGTATAAACTGCTCCTTCCTACACTCCGATAAGTATAAGAGTATAAACTGCTCCTTTCTACACTCCGATAAGTATAAGAGTATAAACTGCTCCTTTCTACACTCCGATAAGTATAAGAGTATAAACTACTCCTTTCTAGACTCCGACAAGTATAAGAGTATAAACTGCTTCTCAAGACTCCGACAAGTATAAGAGTATAAACTGCTTTTCAATCCTCCGATCGGTATAGAGGTTAAACTGCTTCCCTGATACTCCAACATGTATATGAGTCTAAACTGTTTCATTTCTTTCACGGGAAGTTCCTGGAGAATTTTTTACATGTAATATTCTTAAGGATAACCCGGTCATGTAACTCAGTACAATGTCGGACCCAGTTCCACAAGGGAAGCTGGGGGTGGATTATTCATGTATCGGGAAGTTCCCGAAAGAATACCACGGTGATATTCTTAGGGATAACCCAATCACTATAAAAGTGATAAGTAAAACATCCACATTTAAACTCTAAAAATTTCACTTCGATAAACGAGGAACTCATCTTCAGTTTAGATAACTAATCCTATAAAAGGTAAGTTTATCTAGATTTTCCAGATTCTTGGAGTGGAGATCCCACTTCTAGTTTCTTTTGCGCTGGAAATAGAATATGAAATTCTTCCTTTCCAGAATCAAGGAATAGAATATAAAATTCATCCTTCCTTGTATTCGGGTTCGCCTTCACCCTAAAAGAAGACCGGGAAATAGAATGTAAAATTCTTCCTTTCCCACACCAACCTTTTCCAAGAATTCATCCTAGGAAGTTTATCCTGAATCCTAAGCAGGGATAAGTCTGCGCCTAACACGCGCTGCCGGTTTAGTCTTTCTCCGTAGAAAAAGACACCAGAATTCGATTCTGGGGTATTTTATCCCGAAGCCTAAGTAGGGATAAGTCTGCGCCTAACACGCGCTGCCGGTTTAGTCTTTCTCCGTAGAAAAAGACACCAGAGTTCGATTCTGGGGTATTTTATCCCGAAGCCTAAGTAGGGATAAGTCTGCGCCTAACACGCGCTGCCGGTTTAATCTTTCTCCGTAGAAAAAGACACCAGAGTTCGATTCTGGTGTATTCTATCCTGAAACCTAAGAAGGGATAAGTCAACGCCTAATACGCGTTGCCGGTTAGTTCTTAACCGTAAAAAGGACAAAAGTCAACATATTCAATATTGTGGCAGGTTGTTATTAATAACGCCAAAATCCGTGCTTCACACGCATGGGGAATTTTATCCCGAAGCCTAAGCAGGGATAAGCCAACGCCTAATACGCGTTGCCGGTTTAGTCTTTTACCGGTTGAAGAAGACATCAGAATCCGATTCTGGGGACTTTTATCCTGAATCCTAAGTAAGGATAAGTCAACGCCTAATACGCGTTGCCGGTTAGTTTTTAACCGTAAAAAGGACAAAAGTCCACATATTCAATATTGTGGCAGGTTGTTATTAATAACGCCAAAATCCGTGCTTCACACGCATGGGGAATTTTATCCCGAAGCCTAAGCAGGGATAAGCCAACGCCTAATACGCGTTGCCGGTTTAGTCTTTTACCGGTTGAAGAAGACATCAGAATCCGATTCTGGGGACTTTTATCCTGAATCCTAAGTAAGGATAAGTCAGCGCCTAACACGTGTTGCCGGGTAGTCTACGTATTCAATATCGTAGCACTAAAAGGGTTAACTCTTTTAGCTTAACGTCATATGTGGAACGGACTTAAACAATCCGCATGCTAGCCCGACTCAAACGGTAGTCGGTAAAGGCTCATCAAACCCGTTGATGGCTGAGAATTTGCCAAAAATTCTATAAATGCGAGTCATTGACGAACCAGTTCCACTAGTTGGTCTCGTGACTTGAGCATCCAACAAATTCAGGATAAGATCCACACATGCAGATGAATTAGCTTTAACAGTTGGTCATGCAGCCCCAACACTTGGGACCGCCGTGCTCCAATACCTCAAGAGCTTAAACTGGGTATACTCCAGTAAACGTACGAGTATAAACTGTGTCAACGTTCGACGTTCGAAACCCTAGGGTCAACGCCGGTCAACGCGTAACCCTAGGTCAACGCCACTCAACGCGTTGCGACCAAAAATTCAGCGTTCGAAACCCTAGGGTCAACGCGTAACCCTAGGTCAACGCCAATCAACGCGTTGCGACCAAAAAGTCAACATTCGACGTTCGGGTCAACGCGTAACCCTAGGTCAACGCCAATCAACGCGTTGCGACCAAAAAGTCAACATTCGACGTTCGAAACTCTAGGGTCAATGCCGGTCAACACGTAACCCTAGGTCAACGCCACTCAACGCGTTGCGACAAAAAGTTAACATATGGTAATCTGAAACCCTAAGTTAGCACAATGTGATAGAGGTAGTCAGTTCAAAGTCAACTCAATGACACGAGCCAAACTCAACTCGCCGGTGGTAGACTCGAGACTCCGATGACGGCCAAGCGATAAACGCAGCGCCGGAAGGACTTCTGCTATTCGTCAAAACATTGGATAGACCGAAAATCGAAGGAGCCAAGAGTTGAAGCTAGCTACAGGTCCTTTATGCCGACCCAAAGTATTCCAGCCTCTTCTATAAAAGAAACGAGTCTGGAAAGCTTTGGAGGGGGTATCTGTAGGCATTGAAAATTGCCTATAGGTCTCCACGAACAGCTCAGTGTTAAGGAACGACGATGAACATCACTATCCGGTTCACAGGAGTTCGATTGATATCGGTAAACGCTTGAAGTGAATCGACGAACTACGTGGACTAACAGAATTCCAGAATAACGAAGGTATGGGCTAATCGGGAGCCCCGCGATGTTTACAAAAGGAACAATGCCCTTCGTGTCTCATTCACTCTACAGATGATCCAACCATCGGAGCTAATAGAATTCCTTGTCGGCTTTCCAACGCACTTTGAATCACTCAAATCTGAGTTCGGACGAAGAATTTATAACGGAAGCGGACATATACACCATAACGGGGTGTCTCGGCCCAAACCGAGACACCCTAGGGTGTCTCGGATCAAGGGGAGACACCCTAGGGTGTCTCGGATCAAGTGGAGACACCCTGGGGTGTCTCCAACGAAGATTTGGGCCTTTAGGTGGTTTTAACCGCTCCAAACTCCCCCGAGCCTATAAATACAAGCCTCAGGCCCTCATTTTTCAAGATCTGGAATTTTGGAGAATTGGCGAAGCCCTGCCGAACTGAAGAGTGATCGAGTTCTTCAACACAAGAGATCGAAAGTCGTCAGATCTACATCACCTGCATCCAATCCTTAGTATTATCCCGTTGTGGTAATTCTAAGAAGAGCAATTATCTCGCTTTTGTCGAGATAAGCGCTTCTGTTTCTAGATCTCCTCGTGGATCAACGAAGCTCTGGACCTGATCTGATTGCCAGGTAGTCCACGGATATCGACATCCCCATCACAGGCTAAAGACCCACGCAAGCAAGAGACGACGAACGGATCTTGTGTTATTTTCGAGAAAGTTATAATTTTTCTTCTTTTCTTTTGATTAAGATCTGAATTCTTTGTAAACACTAATATTATAATGAGTTCAGTAATGAAGGCAACTTTTACCGAAAACAAACTGGGCATCGAAAATTTCCTATAGGTCTCCACGAACAGCTCAGTGTTAAGGAACGACGATGAACGTCACTATCCAGTTCACAGGAGTTCGATTGATGTCGGTGAACGCTTGAAGTGAATCGACGAACTACGTGGACTAACAGAATTCCGGAATAACGAAGGTATGGGCTAATCGGGAGCCCCGCGATGTTTACAAAAGGAACAATGCCATTCGTGTCTCATTCACTCTACAGATTTTTGGGGTTTGATCGTTACCTGAGTTGGGGGATCTCGAGAACGAGCTCGAGGGAGATCGGTCGCGGTCGGCGGAGTTGGGGTAGTCGGCGTCGGATGAGTTGGGTGAAGTACGGCGGAGGAGGGGGAAGTTGACGGAGGAGGGGGTAGTCGGCGAAGACGATCGACTTCACTTAGAGAGCTTGAGGGTGATCGATGGAGCTCGACAGAGATCGATGTGGAAGTCGGCGAAGTACGACGGAGTTGGTGAATCGATTTGATGTCGGATTTGGGTGAGCTTGAGAGAAGGAGCTCGATTGACTCAGCGTCGGAAAGCTTTTGGGGCTTGATGGAGGAGAGATTTGGGCAGTTTTTGGGGAGAGAGAGAGAGAGAGAGAGACAGAGTTATGGTCACGAGATAAGATATGTGTTTTATTACCCAGCGCTGGACTTTTTGCAAAAAAACCCAGACTGGCCCTCAATGCGTACGAAGCAGTGCGCACCTGAAACGCACTCTATATATATATATATTACTTACTCTCTCAAGAATTTTATCCTCTGCATAGTTACCCTCTCTCATTCAAGCGCCAACCAAAAGATATATAAGAAAATAACAAATTAATTTAATTTAAAATGAGAAAAGTGGGGGATGCTGATCCAAAGCCAGAATGGAACTTGGGTCATTATTATCCAGTTGTCCTGTACTTGCTTTCGGTAGATTCCAAGCACCTCACTCATCGCAGGGGCACTCCGGTAATTTATTAAACTCGAAATCAGACGTGGAATGAAGGTACAAAACAACGAAGATGGGGATTTTTTTTTTCTCTCTCTTCTTCTGGTCTCTCTCGAATCATTCGGGAGTCCCATGGTTCAGGTGATCTTTTGATCTCTCTCTGTCTCTCTCTCTTCTTTAATTTATTTGATTTTGAAATGAAAAGAAATGTTTGGAGATTTTGGTCAACGATGCTGATCAGAGTAACTAGCAGGTGGACTGCTAGCTAGCTGTTAATCATTTTCATCTTCCAATGTTTCATTTCAGCAGACTGAGAGCTTCGGTCTGTTTTTGTCTACATAACGGAGCATCTGAAGAGAGCGATGGAGCATTCACCAGGTCCAATTTCTTCATTAATAGCCTCCTTTATATTCTGTCATTGCTACTTGATCAGTTCAGGATCAAATATTGCACCTCACGTTATTTAAATCTCTATCATGTTTTTTCTCTCCCTTTAAACTAACCACGAGTGTTGATTCATGGACACATTGCTCTACAGGATTCTTGAGAGAATTAAAATAAAATTAAAAATGATCGAGATGACGCTTATCTTGATTGACGTCGAGTGTCCAGACCGACTTAACTTAACCCCAATATCATATCAGGTCATCTGCTTTATCTTCTGCTACGCTATGTTTAATCTTGGTTTGATGTGAGATGAGATTTCTCTTTGCGCTTTCGACATCCAGATTTGATTGTGCAAAGACCAACGTAAACTCAAAATCTGCCAAATACTTTCAAGTTTGAATAGGACCTTCTTGTTAGAGATGAAGAGAATTTCAATGGTTTCTATGGTACATAGGTAATGACTCGAGTAAAGTAATCTCAAAAAGCTTCTGCACTATGAAAGCGGAGCTCAAATCACCAGCGACTTATGTTTGAACACCATATGTAAAAAAATGATGGAACATGTAGCTCATGTTCATTGGGACACAGCGCCTGTATTACTTCAGAGGCTCATAGCGCAACAAATAGCTATAACTATTAACCTTTTTTAAGGTAAAATCTCAAAAGAATGACTACTAGTGTGGACTAGTAAAGTAAAGCCTACGGTTAAATCTCAAAAGAATCAAGTGCTGGTGCGGATTATTTTTGGATATCAAGTTGGGTCCCTCTTACCACCAGCTCCCCCAGAAAGTTCCTCTCTTGATGTTGGCGGTATTTACCTTGAGGCTTGAGCTCGTGAACTGTTTGTCACAAGTAGTGTTTTAACAACCGTCCTCGATTTCCTTTTAAGTTTTTCCTTGCATGTTTTGTCCGTTTCAGAACTGGTTTGTCATTACTTATTCATGTACAGATTGACTATACAGAATTTTAGGGATATCTGAAATTTCTTAGGTCAACCCGCTATAAACTCAAAGTTTGAGCAGATTCCTACATTTTACCTTTTCTCTTCTATTCTTTTTCTTCATCGAGTCACATATCCTATATGTAGGACACATAATGCATGGGAGGAGTTTGGTGGATGAAATGAACGAACTTGGAAAGTTGAGAACTGCTATCATGATGGAAAAATGCTCAAGAAGGAATGAAACAATCATGTGCCCTAAACCAAGGAAATCAAGTGTCAGGTCAGTCATGTTTCTAATTTATGTCAATTTCATTAAAAAGGAACTTGAGATCTCATGTTCATATTAAAAAATAACGGTGAATTTCTCAGTAGTGTAGAACTATTTAATTTACTCCTTTAGAGGATAAGTATAACTAGAATTTACAGTATGCAGTCATTGGTAGCAATGACATTGATTATTGCTCAACTTAAATCACTGGAGATCTGCATGATCTTAAGTTTCATACAATTGCTAATAACAGATTGTGTCTGCCAGCATATGATCATCTTCAATCCAAGGTGACCTAGGCAATCATAGATAACCTTCTATTGAAGGACTATGGACAACTCCCACTAGTGGGAACATCTTTTAATTTTTTCCTGTCAAGTACTTGGTTACTTACATTTCATAACTATTTCAAGTTTTCAACTACCACAAGTCTAATTTGACTTCCATATGCAATAAGTATCTAGTCTAGAAACATGTTTTTACCAATAGCTACACAAAATAGTCTATATTTAGATTCTTTTACTATTTTGCATAATAATTTACTTCTGTTGTTTCTGAAACTCTGCTTAGCCATTGATCCTGTTGAGGCTAACATGAGTGAAACTTCCAGGTCAGTTGGAGAATCCAGTGAGTTGAAAACCGTAGCAGAGCTTTCTAACATCCTTATCAGCACGGTTTGAGTTTTCTCTTTCTCTCGTTTCCTTTTCTCACTCTGATTGACACCAGTGACTTATTCATCCTTTCATTGTTGCCAACTTTAAATCTATCTGACCTCAGGCCCATATTTCATAAGTGACAGGTTTTTTGTTTAATTGGCTTTTCAATGTTATTTCAATTTTGTTAAGTTTACATGCTAATATTGCAACAACATATAGTTATGCATTTGCAATCATGTTCAGGCTTCGCCACCCTACTACTCTGGCTCCCCACCAATTCGCTCCAGTAATCCTCTCATTCACGATTCCCATTTTCAAGACCAAAATCTATCCCAGCTACCAGCTGTAGGTTCCAACCGTGCTACTCAAGGCATTTTATCAATGGCCTGAGGTCTTTATCACGCTTGGGCTTAACCTTGAAAAAATAAGTGACTTTGTGTGTATTATGTTTATCCTCCTTCCCCCCCACGTGTCAGATGTATATATACCAGGTTTTGGTGTGAAACTTGTCTAGTTGAGGCTTATTGTGGCTTGTGCATGCAAATGTATGCTGTTGAAAGCAGACAGCTCTGTTGAACTAGTCTGTGTCTGTTTTCTGTGGTTTACTAAATAAATTGGCTGGCTTCATCTGTTGCTACAATATTATCATCGTACGCTCCTTTCTTAGCTGTTCCTACAGTCCACAATCAACATCTAAATACTGAGGTGAACATGTATAGACATCAAATGACATGATGGACACGCCTTAACGACATAATCCTTGCCTTCAAAAGTACAAATTAAAAAGGGAAAAAAGGAAAAATAAAAGAGAACTTCACTATTTATTCCACCGATTTATTAAGGAAAGTAACATTCTGAAAGTCTTATTCTCCAAGGAAAAAAAAGGGTAAGTAACCCTTCTTTTTTATTAAGGAACAGTGTGAACATTTCCTATTCCCTTCCGTTCCAAATGGCCACAATATATATGTCCCAATGGAAAACAATGTTAGTAGCTTTGAAGATTTCTCCTTATTCCCCTGGTGAAATGCATAGACACACATCCATCACTTAGTTTCGATACACGCTTTTTCCTCGTCGTCTCTCATTTCTGCCAGTGTCGGGCCTCTGTTTTGTGTTCTCAAACTTCAGAGGTACTACTTGCTTAAAGTATGAACTGCCAGGGAAATTCCTTCTCTCTTTTGGAAGAGAGCTGAGTTGTTGCAGCCAGTAAGAGACATACTCGCCTTCAGGATCATATGTTTTCGCCTAAAAGAAGAATATTTAGATGTCAAACTAGCTATTTCTCTAACGTCTGAAAGGTAAATCAAAATATACAAAGAAGTAGAGAACTTCCACTGTACAAAGTAGAAGTTCTCTTTGTTCCGTAGATTTAGTGGAAAACATTTAAATCACCGTAACAATCATTCCAATTTATTTCCACCAAAATTCTGCCTTCTGCTGATAACAACTGGAGAACAAGAAAACTCCACACATAAACAGATGATGACTTACTTCAAATGACTGTATCTGATCTAAAATCATTCTTTTAAGGGATCTGATCTAAAATCAGTCTTTTAAGGGATAATATCAACAGATAATTCTAGGCACAATGCACCAACCAGTAAGTAGGCGGAACGAAGTTCTTTGACATGCAACCAAGGACCAAAAATATTATTCATAACATTAAAGAATCTAAAATGCAGTATTTTATCACATTATACATAGCATAATCATAGAGCCAAGTGGAACAATCATCCAGCTAAATCAGTAAACTATTAGCATCAGCAGTCCTAAAATTGTAAAATATAACCCTTCTACTGTGCCTTTTAGAATAATTACTGGATTCATGGCTGTAGTAAATGAAGAAAAGCTAAAAATTCAAAACTGGGCAACATCCCTCCCCAACCCCCACCCCACCATCAACCCATTTAAAAATAATAAGGAAAAAAAAAGAGAGGAAGAATAATGAGAAGAAATAGGAAAACCACCACATCCTCCAGATGTTTCCCAACAAAAATGGGGTGTAGATTGAAAGAGAGACTATAGAAAAAGTGATCAATGTTTTAGAACTCCTTTGCAAGCTAACACCAATTTGGTGCCAAATCCCGACAAAGACATTAATGAATAAGGGATGCACATAATTACAGCTCAAAATACGATTGAACAGTAGCTACATTTAAGAATCTGACCTAAGAGGTAATATGCAACCACTAAGATCTGGCTCAATGGTAAAATGGATGGTTGGGCCTTCTGACTTCTCAAGTTCAGGACCAGTTATTGCTATTGTACAAATCGCATCCAAAGATAATGCTTGCACCAAGCCCAAGAGCCGATGTAGAGATGAACATATAGTTTTAACTCCATTGTACTCTAACATATCTCTTAATTTTATTTTTAATTTGACTCCACACATGATGTTTCAAAAGATTGACATATGTTCTTGATGGGTTATGCATAAAAGGGACCTTCAACTTTGGTTATTTTAAAATTTCAGAAGGAAACTCTTGATGGGTTATGCATAAAAGGGACCTTCAACTTTGGTTATTTTAAAATTTCAGAAGGAAACTAGGAAGCAAAGATTTATACTTCAAGCTCAGGTGCACTTACCTGCTTTGGTATACTGAAATAGCGATCTTCTCTCGGATCATTGCCTACACCTTCACAATTATGCAATTCAAACTATTAATGAGCTTAAGAAAAGGGTTAAAATCAGATTGTATAATTAATTTATATGTTAAACTCCAGAACCAACATATGTTTTAGGAAAGAGAAGTGTTAAAAGCTAACCAGCCCCGTAGGTCCAATTTCCATAGTTAGAGCATGGATCATAATCTAGGAGACATGTCTCAAACCATTCAGCTCCCATTCGCCAATCAACTCCCATATCTCGAACTAGAAATGAGCAAACTATCTGCAACAACCTCCAATGGGTTGGTCACTTATCGTAAATGTTCAGATAACACACGCTAAAAACATGGTATTAACCTCACATCTGAATAGGAAACCCCAGTCGAGTAAAAATCTCAGAAGGCAAAGAAAAGGACCAATTATCAGGGACTAATATCTAGCAATCCTTACATCACTAAGAATTAGCAATGTAGTTGCATAAACACGTAGGAGAATAGGTTACATTCTGAAATTCCATTGCTGTTGAAATTACCTGGCGACCTCGGTTTGACATGAAGCCTGTGGTAGACAGTTCTTTCATGTTGGCATCAATCAGAGGATATCTATTATTCAACAGTTCAAAACATTAAAAAAGTAGTTCAGTCGACAATGACTGATGATCACTGTCACAATAAGCATAATAGACAATGAACGGGGAGAGGTTGAGTATACCCAGTTTGACCTTCTCTCCAGCAATCAAATAATGACTGGTCCTGGCTCCAATTAGATACCACTTTCCTTGGACCTCCTATCAAAAATTAAAAGGCCAATTATATCCAAAACTGATATGAACAACAATCCAAGAAATTCAAAGATAACAGAAAATTTTGATCTGTGTCTTGCTCATGTGAGAGTCATACCAACAAGATTAATTCATACTTTAAATACATAACACGAAACATACTATATATCCGCCATGCTGCGAAAAGTAAACACGATGAAGCCAAAATGTTATTGAAAAATTTCCAAGTTGATTATAATGAAATACATTGCTAGTCTGCAGGTCACCTTTTTCCTCAGCTGTATAAAGGTACAGGTTCATTGATTTGATGCTACATCTTTGATGATTGTTTCGAGTCTCAAGTTGTTTGGATGTGTTTTGTAAAAGAAACATGTACAAGTTCTCCTTCCAAAGACAATATATGGTAATATCTAATTTACAAATCAAATGAGAATCATCTAAAAATACTACAAAAAGTTATGGTACCTAAGTGAAAAATGGAATTTCCATACTTCATCGAAATAAACCTGAAATAGTCCCTCCAGATTAGCTCGAACAACACCCTGTAATGTAGCAGCAAGGGAGAGATATGTATATATGTAACGAGCAGGCTGTAATAACACGCCTAGAGGAAGTTAAACTGTTATTACATGTACAAAAGATTACCAGTATGTTGAATCATTTGCAAGCCTTTCTTTCTCGTACCTCTTTACCTAATAAATCAAGAAAGATGCTATGTGGCTCATAATTTATCAGAAAAACAGTGGAGGCAGTTGATGAAATCTAACCTCTTCATAGACATATCTTGGAGAAAGACATCCAGAAGCGAGCCAAGGACTCTTAATAGATCCTGCGAAGACACGCGATATAAAGCCTTGCCCAAAAATGAAACTTTCGTTTAGGTACCTAAATACTTGACGTCCATAGGGAAGAGGCAGCCATAAACACAATAAAGATCATGAGGGTCATACTCAAGGGTCGTACTTGCCTTTTTCCAGAAGTATTCATATACCCTGCCCAAGGCTGCACTCTCACCTCCAACAAAGAGCATTCCTCGATCACACTGCACCACAAAGAAGATAACAAGCTTACCTCGTCAATTTACATTAATCAAGCATATGCATATTATACATCGACAAGGTGAAACTAATGACCTGCCTTGCTGTCATGCAGTCCTAGATCCTCAAGTGAAGGGACCGTAACCCACCCACCAAATTCTTCCATTTCTCTGCGGGGGAGCGGCCCCAGAGCCACTGGCAACTTGCAGCAGCTCCTCACTGAGCACTTAGATTCCACAGACTGTAAAATGGGTTCCCCGCATCATTAAAATTCCCAAAAGCTTCCTCTCATATTATTACAATAATAACAACGGTAACACCCAAGGCAAAGACCAAGTACCTTTCGGAACTGGGTGTATACATCTGGAATACTCTGTGGAGTAAATGGGAGGTCATCGACATGGTACATTGTAGCTCCTCCCCATACAAGTTGCAATTTTGGGGAGGAATTATTCATCACCACTTGCTGCAATCCCTTAATAACCAATTTCTCTACGAGGAGCTCCTCGCTGCAAGTCTCTTTATGAGCAAATACCTGGAGGTGTACTGTTGCAATTAATTAATTAAAATAGCAGCCCGGTTTTAATCATATTGCAATTTTTAGTGGTAACACAGAAGCCAGGATTGACATGATGTGGTAGGGGATCGGGAAGTACGGTGTGAGCTCCAAATTGTTTGGCCAGGGAAGGGAGAACGTCCTCAGGCTTTCCATTTTGTATCAACAAATTCAGCCCTCTCTTGATAAGACTCTTCTTCAAGTCGCTCAGGCACTCCATCAGAAACTTGGCTCTTAAAGCTGTCGAGAAAAAGAGAAGGCTCGCATGTTTTATTATTATTATTATTATTATTATTTGAGGGGGGGTGTTTTCTCAAAAAAAAAAAAAAAAAGGAAAAGAAAAAAAAAGCAGAGCTCTCGAAGTGATAGTTACTTAGCACCTCCGGTCTTGGGGAAGCCGAAGTAGTGAGTGGTGCCGAAGAAGCAGCGGGGATCGACGCAGTAGACCGGGAGCAGTGCGGAGGAGCAAGACCAGGCTGTCATCAGAGCCTCGTTGTCGAGGATCCTGAGGTCGTTTCTGAACCACACGATGGCCACGCCGCCGCCGCCCTTCTGCCGCGCATTGGCTGCGATGAGGAGGAGGAGTGCCTGAGGAAGGCGCTGCCAGCAGCCGGAGGCGATCTCTCGCGCGCTTAGCCCGGGACAACGGCTGTGGTGGTGGGACCCCCACTCCGGTGCTGGTTGTTGGAGCTCATGGTGGTGATCGTGGCTGACTCGCTGCCGGCGACGGCAGACTGACGCGGACAGGTGTGAGCCGCCGGGGGGAGAGGCGGAGAGCAGCAGGAGCGAGATTAACAACAACAGGAGGAGGCATCTTCGGAGATTTTGTTTTTTATTTTATTTCTATCAGGGAGAAGCTCTGACGATGACGCACGGTACGTGGCAACACAGCGCCCTCATTAATTTGATGCTTCGCTGCCGGGACAGGGTATGCTCACCGCGGGAAATACGTGCCGCGGAGGATGCCACCTCAACACATGAACTCGCTGTGGACTCCAGCGGCGTACCCTGCCTTCTTCGCCTAAATTCTACATCACTATATTATTAATAGTACAGATGAAAACATAAATGCGGACGCAGAGAACATTTAAAATAAATATGTCAATTGGTTGACGAGAGTGGAGAAACAAACCGAGCACGAAGATGAAATAATACATTTTACGAGTCAGTACAGTAAAAGATATTTGGAACTGAGCATGGGAGCTGATTGAAATTTGATCGATGCCTGATGCTAAAATAATTGTAAAAACCTTGTGCCTCTGCTTTTAATGGCAGGTTTTTCCTTTTTTCTTTTGCCCCCCTCCCCGAAATAGCGCTTGCTTGGTCATCCTCATCTTTTAGTGGCAGGTTTTTTTCGATTACAAAGTTGATTGATCTTTTTTAGTGGAATTCTTTTTTATTACATAATTGATTGATTGGTTTATTTGGAAACATGTTACATAGTAAACTGAGACCACATGAACAAAATCTTAGATTTGACCAGATTCTGCTGTCCTAGACCTAATCGGGAAAGCTGCAGCCTGCATTCCCCTGAGCCTAGTCGGGATCAAATCCTGAGTCTATATAAGCGGCACGGCGTCAATTTAAATTTCATATTGGATTGGTAAGTAAAAGAGAAGAGGAGAGAAAAAAACAACAACAAGATACCTTGATTGATTAGGGATGGATGAGTATTCTCTCTATAATCTTTGGTTATGGCATTCAATGGGGGATCCGACCTGCGGGGAGTACTTGTACTGGCTCCTCAATACAGCTGCTTCCGAGATACAACCCCCGGCGTGCCGCTCAGGGACCAAAATAACGCCCACATCTCCTTGCCTTGTGATTCTTTTGCTGCAGACGCCTCACCGCGCAGCCGCAGCTGCCGCAACTACAACTAGAAGAAGAAGAAGAAGCAGCAGCAGCAACAACAACACCACGCTAATAATGATGGCCTGCCCTTCATCGACCAACATCACACCAGCATCTCCTTGCCTTATGATTCTTATGTTGCAGACGTCCCGCCGCCACCACCGCAACATCTACTACAAGAAGCAGCAGCTGCGCCAGTTGGTTTTTTTCAGGGTACAGCCACCAACGGCGTCTCGGAAGAGATCCCAGTGCTTCAGCACCAACAACAACGCTACGCTAATAATGATGGTTTTGGTGGTGCAACCCCGCAACAACATCCCACACTGCGCTGCCATCTTCCACCGTCCACCTGCAACAACATCAACAGCAAGATCATGATTTTATAATGGACTCTGAATGGGACAGGGACTTCTTTGAACCTCTCAATCAAGTTATGTGGTCGTAAATATTTTTTCCCTTTACCTTTACCTTTTTGGTTAAAATACATATAATATCATGAATTTTTACATAATTTTCTCTCTTTGCAGGCTCAAGATCCTCAATGGGCAGATGTTGAAACATCTTCTCAAGATTCACCTGGAGGTACAATCCACCCTACCTGATGATGAGAATACTTCATGCATTGCTTGCTCATATTATTATCCTTCCCTTTTTTTTTCTCCCTCCCTCTCTCTCTCTCTCCTTGTGTTGTAGCTTTACATATTAGTTTTGTATGTTACACAAATATTTCAGAGATTGGAGAGAGCTTAAGCGCAGGAGATCTACCACAAGAGCATTCAAATACTGAAATTGAACAAACCAACGAGGAACTAAGACATATAAAAAGGTAAATTTAAAATAGCACACGATTTTTTAGTATTAATGAGCAGTGCTTGTTTACTATGTATCAAATTCATAGTTTATATTTATCAGTTGACAATGACATAAACGAAAACGTTTCACTTTTTTTAGTAACCTGCAGGCTAGATCATGTAGCAGGAGTAACGTTATAGAAATTTTTTGATTCTGTTTATTCACTTATTTTTTATTTAATTTCCTGTGGATTCCATATAATATTTTAAATTGTATAAAATAAGAAATAAAATTTTCTTTTATCTTTTAATTTTCAGTAAGAACATCCACATAAAACTAAAATACACGAAGGTGATGGTTCAACTGTCATATGTTTTTTTAAAATGCCTAAAATTTGAGAAAAAACTTAGATAAAAATAATTTCTGAGAAGAACAATATTCACACCTTTTTATTGAAGAGAAGTGTCATACTGCTTTAAATAAGTACATGTACATATCATACTAAACAGACTGTCTTTTATGTATCCAAGTGGATTCAAGAGTATAACTTATGTTGTATCTCCCGTGTATTACGCAACTTTTAATAGATTGGATCATCTCAAAATATGTTTATCTCATATATGTTCCTCCAACCTATGAAGCACGGACACGCATAACATGAAGCCGTATCGTGTCGTGTCCGTGTCGGACACACTTGTCAAACACACGTATCCTATGTATTTTTTAGGATTTGCCTCGTGTCGGCGTGTCGGATGGCAGTGTCGGATCCGTGTCCGTGCTACATAGCCTCCAACTTGCTTGTCATCTTATTAGTCATTAGACTCATTACATTATTTTGAGACGAGATTCATTTATCTATGTAACACGAGCACTTCTCTGTAACTATATTCTGTCAGAAGCATAGGAAATATAGTATATATCTTAGTGGCAATGGACATTGAGGATGTGCAAATACTCATGATTCAGAGTTCCACTACCTAACAAGTAATTTATGTTTTGACTAAATCTAATCCAGAAAGCAGCAGAATAAAGAAGCTCAACGACGCTCACGAATAAAGAAGAAGCTTGAACGTGAAAACCGTGAAAAACAGGTAAACCTATGCTAACTTTTTTTTATTTGCTTGTTAAGTTACTCGTATGATTGATTTCCGAGGATGGTGTTTAAGATGTGATGCATAACTATGTGGGGAAATGCTTTCTATATCCCACATTAATGGATTAACATGATCACTAGTATAATTTATCGTTAAATTACATGTCATTGTTATTACCATTTATTTTTAAGTGTCTGTGGGTAGTTAACCTACATTATTAACTTCTAACCTTGGTTTTCTTATCAGCTGCATGAAGTAGGGCTGGCACTGCAGGAATGTTATGGCATAAGCATAGCAGAACTGTTGGAAAAGTATCGTTCAATAATGTGCTAGGAGAAGCATTGGGAACAACTATTATTATTCTCGTTGAGTTTTGTAAATAATTTTTTGGATACGGTTTCTTTTTCATTGCGGACAGTTCTGTAAATTCTAAAATGTAAATGGATGTTACATTTATCCTTAATGTAATGATTCACATGTCTTATTTTCTGCTTGATGGTTCGTTGTTATCTGAGTTATTTTCAATCTGCTGTATATGAATGTACTCCATTATGAGCAGTTTTGATGTCTGCAAGATCACCTGAGTTGTTCTTTATTTATAAGATCAATCACAAAACGTGAGCTCTATAAAGGCTTGAGAAATTATCAATGTGACATATTAACCAAAACTGGATCTGTAAAACTGGGTGAGCTTTTTCTTTTTGTAAATTTATTGACAAGAAATTTGGGAATGTTGGCAATACTTGAGACTCGTGATGCTGACGTTACGGAGACCAGAGCCAAAATGATGAAGAAGGGGAGGGCAAGATTGCTAGATGGACTTTATGGTATCAAAATTAACAATCCAAATCAAAAATTTACCGTGCAGGCGTTTAAAGTGGATTTAGAACAAAAACTGCATTGCAACACAAAATATTGAAGGTTTCTACCCATGAAAAGAATTGCATAACCTGGCAGGGGGCTGATAAAGTTTTGGTGTGGTGAAAGAGACTTTGAAGAGATTTTCATGATTGAGAAGGGAGGAGCTAGAAATAAATAGGAAGGATTGTGTTTCAGTGTTAAGCTTGTAGTTTTCAACTCTTTCAACCTTCTTCAGCAGCTTTGCCACTATCCTTGATTTTGATTGTATGCAGGAATGTAACTTGCAATCTTGCTATACACGTCACAATTAGGACTTTTTTGAACACATTAACTATTTCAATTCCAAATCTGCATCATTTGACATGGTCTCTTTCATAGGTTAAATTCCTCTTGCTCTTGGATTTCAAACTGAGAGAATGGAGAATATAGCTGATACAGAAGAAACTATGATAGAACCTGCAAGCACAAAGAACAAATCCAGAAGAAAACTAACCAAACCATACAAAACTAACAACCATGAGAAGTTACTGTTGGGACAAACCCGGGGACTAATAGAGCAGGATCGCAGAAATAGTAGAGCAAAAGTAAAGATAAAAAATTAGACATACAGATTTACGTGGTTCGACACTTGATTACCTACATCCACGGGCAAGGATAGAAGAATCCACTATGAGAAGAAAACTCTGGAGTTACAATCTCTCTTTATAAGGAGATACTCTCTCTCTATTTTTTTCTCTCTCGCTCTTGTATAAGAGAAGTTATTTCTGGGATGAGTTTTTCCTTAAGGATTTGGAGCCTATTTATAAGGTTTGGAAAAATACTATGCACAATAAAATATTAATATTTTACTATGCTGTGGGCCCGCCATTTTTTATTTTTTTTCCTCTTCAAACTTTGTTGCTGCCCACACGCCCCTTTCTTCCTCTTTTCAACATTTGTGGCTGTGGACACTTTCGGTGTTGTGGCTGCCTATGTAGCATGGACATGGATCTGACACGGCCATCCGACACGCCAACACGAGACAAATCCTAAAAAATACATAGGATACGTGTGTTCGACACGTGTGTCCAACACAGACACGACACGACACGGCTTTATGTTATGCGTGTCCGTGCTTCATAGGTGGCTGCATTAGGTGCCTGATAATCTCCCACTTAAAGATTTGATTGAGTATCAATCATATTTTCACACCATTCTTTCTATCTTGTCATCTTCATGTTACTTACGTCTCCAACAGACCACAGGAGGATCTACACCAAATAAATTTGTCAGTATTAACTGCTTTTGTCAAAAAATCTGCTAGGTTATCTTTAGTGTGAATTTTTTGCATATCCACTGTTCATTCTTCCACTTCTCATGAACGAAGTGATATTGAACTCGAATGTGTTTGGTCTTTGAATGAAAGGTTAGATTTCTTACCAAATGCAAAGCACTCTGACTGTCATAAAATAAAGATATCTTCTTTTGTTCATAGCCGAGTTCCTCCAACACCATCTTCAACCAAATCGCTTCTTTACTGGCTTTTTTTTTTGCTACATACTCTGCTTCTGTTATTGAAGTAGCCACAACTGACTGTAGTTTTGAAACCTAGCTTACAGCTCCGCCAGCAAGTGCAAACACATAACCTATGGTGGATTTACTATTATCACGATCACCTACATAATCAGAATCAACATATCCACTAACAATAAAATCAGACCCCCATAACATAATGCAACATTTGAGGTTCCTTGAATGTATCTTAGAACCCTCTTTACAGTATTCCAATGTTCTTTACTAGGATTCACCATGTATCGACTAACCACTCACACTGCTTGTGCAATGTCTGGTCTTGTACAAATCATCGTGAATATTAAGCTTCTCACTGCTGATGCATACAATACTTAAGACATCTCTATCCTCTCTTCTTCACTGCTAGGACTCATACTGGAGGATAACTTGAAATTAACAGGAAGTATGGTAGAAATTGACTTATAATCTTACATGTTAAAGCGTCGTAAGATTTTCTTTAAATAGTTCTTCTGAGAAAGATAAATCTTTCTATTAACTCTGTCTCAGTAAATTTGCATCCCTAGAATCTTATTTGCAGATCCTAATTTTTTTATTTTAAATTTCCTAACCAATTGAGCCTTTAATTCTTGGACACGATCTTTGTTGGGGCCTACAACCAACATGTCGTCAACATACAACAATAAGATAATAAAGTTTTTTTCACCAAACCTTTTGAAATATGCATAAGGGTCTGAATTAAGTCTGTTGTATCCAAGTATCATAATGAATGAATGTACCAGTACCTCGGCGCCTGCTTTAGACCGTATAAAGATTTGTTCAATCTGCAAACTAAGTTCTCTGTTCTTTTTTCTTCAAAACCTTCTGGTTGGAGCATGTGAATTTCTTCTTCAAGATCTCCATGAAGAAATATTATTTTCACATCTAGCTGCTCTAGATGTAAGTCAAATATAATGTTCATAGCCAGGATAATTCGAACTATTGTAAATCGAGCTACAGGAGAAAATATTTTATTAAAGTCAATACCTTCTTTCTGAGCATATCCTTTTACCACCAATCTATCACGATATCGCTCCACCTGATCATCGTCATTTCGCTTGATCTTGTAGACCTATTTGTTTCCTATGGTCTTTCTTTCTTGTGGAAGTGACACAAATTCCCAAGTCTTGTTCTTATGGAGAACTTCAATCTCTTCTTACATTGCTGCCATTCACAAAGATGTATCTGTGTTATTTATAGCTTCATAAAAAGTTGATGGCTCTCCATCTTCTGTTAGAAGACAGTATGCAACATTACTCTCTGTAATATATTTCGAGTGTCAAGTCGGTGGTCTTCTCTCATGAGTTGACCTTCAAATTTCTGGTGCTTCAGACTCGACCGGTTCTTGTACACCATGCTTCGGTATTCCTTCAGAAGAATTTGGATCATCTTCTACCTGAACAGCTACAGTCTCTGAGTCCTTCCTCGAACTGCTTTCTTTTTCTTCACTTTGTAGTGAACAGCTACAGTCTCTGAGTCCTTCCTCGAACTGCTTTCTTTTTCTTCACTTTGTAGTTGGTTCTCTATAAAGATAACATCTCTGCTGATCCTTCCTCGAACTGCTTTCTTTTTCTTCACTTTGTAGTTGGTTCTCTATAAAGATAACATCTCTGCTGATGATAACATTATGGGCAGTGGAATCCCACAGGCAATACCCTTTTACTCTATCAGCATACCCTAAGAATATGTATTTTCTAGATTTTGAATCCAGTTTGTAATTTCTTAAACATTGTATATTACGTACACTGGACTTCCAAATATATAGAGATTGGAATAATCAGTTGGTTTGCTAGTCCACATCTCCATCAGTATCTTTAATTGTATTGCAATTGATGGGGATCGATTTACCACATAACAGGTGGTTTTTACTACTTCCGCCTAAAAAACTTTATCCAGATTTGCAGTTGCCAACATAGCTCTTATTCTTTCCAACAGAGTTCTGTTCAGCCGCTCCGTCACTTTATTTTGTTGAGGAGTATAAGAAGTGTTGAATTATTTTTTGATGCATTCTTGCTTGCAGAATGCTAGGGATTCACCGTCTATGTATTCTCCTCCATTATCTGATCTCAAACACTTGATCTTCTTCTCAGATTCAAGCTCGACCCACGCTTTGTAGGTTTTAAAGACTGAGAACACATCCGTCTTCTTTTTGATAGGATACACCCAACCTCTCCTAGAGTAATCATTAATAAAGGACATAAATTATTTTGCTCCTCCTAAGGATGTAACCGGTGCTTGTCATATATCAGAATGAACCAGTTCCAGAATAGTCTTGCTTCTAGAACTCGATATGTTGAACTTTAGTCGATGCTGCTTACTTGTAACACAATGCTAGCAGAATGGAAGAGCTACCGAATTAAGTCTAGAAAGCAGCTTCTGATCGGAGAGAATCTTAAAGCCTCGTTCTGACATGTGGTCTAGTTTGCGATACCGCATCATGATTTGTTCTTCTCCATGGCTGGTTGATGTCACACATGAATCAGCTTCCTGTAAGGTTTCTCCCGTAAGCATGTATAGATTTACAACTGTCTTCTCTCCTTTTATAACAACAAGCGTCCCTCTAATAATCTTCATGATCCCATTTGCTGTATGAGTCTTACACCTGAGCTCATCTAATTGTACTAAAGACAATAGATTCTTCTTCAAGTCCTTCACATGTCGTACATCTTGAATAGTGTGTATTGTACCATCAGACATTTTAATTTTGATAGTACAAATACCACAAATCTTTAAGGCATGATCATTCCCTATGAATACAGATCCTCCTGAGATAGGTTCATAGTTGTTAAATTATTCTTTCTGGGAGGTCATGTGCCAGGAGGCTGCTGAATCCAGAAGCTAGACATCAGCAAACCTCTTTCTGCCTTCATCAACAGTGGTTGCTCCACTGAATAGAATTTCACCATCGTCTGATGTGCTGACAACGCATCCTTAAGATGTTGATGGCTCTGAAGACTTTTTATCCCCACTCTTCTTATTGTGCCAACACTCCGATTTGACGTGCCCTTTTTTGTCATAGTTATAGCATTTGACATTCTTCTTACTTCTTGATTTGGATCTACCATGGGTATGACTCCCACTGGAACC